AAGCCACAAAACAAAAATGAAAATATGAAAATCATGAAAACAGCAAACAGCATTACCTGTTCAAAGATCTTTAGAAGTATTAACGTTCACCTAATGCATTTGTACTTTCTTATTCACAGAAAAAGAGCTGTAGCTTAGAATTACAACTCTGACTGCTATCTTTACTTAAAAATGTGCCTTTTAATTTTGTTTTTAAATGAATTGCGGTTGCTTACCCATATTGAAAATGACATCCACATGCATTATGAAAAATGCCCTACAAGCAACTCTTTTTTTTATCATCAATTTCTTAAAACACAACACAATTCAACATTGTCAGGACTACAGACTGAGTGCTATATGAGAAAGAGTTCACTTTTTAATATCATCAAGAAAATGGTATTCATTTTTGCAGGTTAATGAGAGGGTAAACAGTTGCTTAATTAATAGTATTAAAAATACTTGGAAATAAAAAAATGTTAACTTCAAAAATCAGTAACAAACCACACAGGGATAACTTACACACAAGCGTTCTCTTCTTCATTGCTTAACTATTAAGAGAGGAAGCTGGAATAACTATGAACCTGACACTTGTTCCTAACTCTAACAGGAACCTGCTTACATGATCATTTTCTGTCTCCCATCTTCCCTCTAAAGAAAGTATTCAGCTCTACATGAAAATTGCTATTTAAGTGCAATTAATAAAATCAGAACCAAAAGAAATTCTAAAAAAAAAAAAATACAGTGCCATATTAAAAGAGAAAAAAATTATACTGCAATCCTGCTCTCATATTTGGTTTTGTTTTGGTTTTTTTTGTCCCTGCATAATATATGGCTGGTCCATTTCAAAAGGTGGTGGAATAATGTATTCTAAAAGCATTTAAGCAAAAATTAAAAGCTGAAATTACAATTATGTCAATAAAGTGCCCAGGTATTAAACCTAGCATTTTCTTACTTAAAAAAAAACAACCTCAAAATGCAGCAACACTCTCTCACCTGTTATACTAAGCTTCAATGCCTAAGAAATAAACTTCCTTGTACAAAATAATTTGCATATCTAAATCAGGGATTACATCCTACAAATGACAAATAAATCATCATCTGTGTGTGAGAAAGCATAAACAATCTTCTCATCTTCTTTTAATTATAGAATTTCAGAGTCTTTGGTCACTGCCCTTCCATTTTACAGCTACTAATCTAGAAAAAGTTTATGGCTGTCCAAAGTTATTCTGAACCTATTAGAACATACACTGGAGCATGCAACTAAGTAACAGAAAGAAGAAAAGAGTGTGAATAATCTTATCACGTTATTTATTGAATTCTGCCTAATCAGTTTGGATAGCTTGGTACATGCTTTGCCAAGTACAAATTATCTTCCATGGGAAGAACATTAATGCCCCTAACTCTAACACTACCATGAATATTCCACAATGCTGCATACATCAAAAATAACAAAGCCATGATAGAGACTGAGAAACACATAATACAATAAATGACTTGTTAAGGAGATTGAACTGGTCTTAACTCATTTCATTTAACAACTATGCGCTAGCGTGAAAGAAGCATCTATTGTAGATTTGAAAAATCGATAGATTCACTTAGAAAAGTGAAAGGTTTTCAAAAAACAAACAAAACCTCCAAACTGCATAAGTGCAAGTAGATACACTCCATCAACTTTTACACCCATGGAAATGTTTGAATAGCTTCTTGAAACTCAGGTGAACGCGTCAGTTCAGCCCTCAACAGCTCTCACCTTGCATAACTAACATTTATGTGAAAGATAACTTGAAAAGGCAACTAACCTTGCCTAATGTTACAGGGCTCATATTCTCTTTGTAATCTGCTTGAACAATCGCTCCAGTTTAACAGCCATAAGCAGGCTGTCCTTCAACAACGTGTACAGAATCTGCCATGTGCTACTCCCTTGCTTCAACAAATGGTGCGCAAATAAAAACCACAGCCAATAACCCTAGTCTCTAATTCTCTATTACTCCTCAAGAAGTCATTCTATACAGTGATGCCATAATGCACTTCGAGCTAAAATCAACTCCTTTTTTTTTTCTTTTTTTTTTTTCTTTTTTTTTTTTTTAATAAACCAAACACTACCTATCTCAAATCTATACTGGCAAGAAACAACACTGTGAAAGATACGTACTCCAGTGACTCCCACTGACAATGCACACAAACCTTTAAAAAAACATTACTGCACGGTTCCCTAAGTGGTTGCTTGCAAAGAGACTGTTACCTGCACTACTAAAGACAGACGGGGAACAAATATCAAAACTAATGGCAAGAAGATAGAGCAAAGCATGATACTTGCAATGCACTCCTCTGTGCTGCTGTCCATAAATATGAAACTTTTAGCAATGGGACTTGTCACACTGACTCAAGAGTGCACAGCAGAGGTGGTGCTGAGCAATACGAAAACAACTAGTTTTGGACATAAAGAATGTGTTGATTAACCTGTGCTAATAAGTGTGAGTGATTTGTTGAGTTGTGTTAGTCTTCCTTTAAGAATGGGGCAGGCATTTACAACTTCAAAGGAAATAAACCTTTTCTTTCATTATCTGTTGATAATCTGATTAACAATTTCTTTCTAGACAGTGCACAAAAAATACTTAAAACATATCTGCCCTTTGATAAGCATGCATAAATTATCTGTAAAAGCAGAATATCAATTATTAAAGGAATACACCTCTGACATAATCTCATATTAGCTCGTACTTTAAATTTGTGCTCACAACACTGAAGACCACCTCTTTTTCAGATGACAAAAACTGCTGTGTATTTTAGGATTTTTGCTTCGTGTATGTTAGTATCCTAGAGATAACTAGCTTAACTCATTTAAGTAAACAAAACCGATTCAAAAACATAATCACAAGAACCTGAAATTAGAGAGAAAATAAACCCTAGTGCTCCTTGCTTACTTATTTCTACACAGAATATTAATTAAAAGCCAGATAAATATAAGTCTCAAATACCATTATGTGTGTGTACATAGTCTCCCCAACTTAAGCCTCTCTTCTGGAGGTCATCTGGCCCAAAGCCTTAATTAGAGCAGAGCTAACCTTCAGGTTGAACCCGTTTATATTAATAAAAATAAATAAATGCAAAGTTCTTAAAGTGAAGCTCCTCAAAGAGTTGTCAGCCATTTCAGGTCTCTAATTACATTTAAAATAGCCTTTTCTTCTTATTGACAGGAAAAAAAATAAATAAAAAGAACAGCAAATTATAGCCACAGTACTTTTACTTTTGACTAGCAAATGTACTCTATTATGTAGGCTTCAATTCACTGATGTAAAGAAAGATTACAGAACAACTTTATCTAAACTACCTTGAATTATCATGTTGACTTATAACTGAGAATTCATACTGCCTAAGGTTAATGTTCCTTAACCATAAGTACTCAAACTTATGCTGCTATGTGACTTTCTCTCTAGCTCTTTCACTTGCTCTTCGAAGTAGCTGTACCTCCAGGGAATTCCCCACCATTTTACAGATATGATAATGAAGAACAGAGATTTACAGAAAATAACAGGTTTACTGGGGATCATGGAGCAGAACAAGAAAAATCAGAGGCATGAGGACTATGAGATGAGGCATTCTACGCTGGAAAGGCAATCTATACCTGGAAAACTATATTTAAAGTATCTGCTAAAATAAAACTGCAGTGGGGAGGTTTCCAGGTGTGCTTGTCCATGCATTTAAGTAGAAAGTACATAGCTATGCATATAAAACCACCACATGAAATGAACTCCCTCCTGATAATCTGCTCCTCCAATAGAGGGCAAGTCACTTAACAGAGGATTAAGAGATCATTGGAGAGCTAGAATGCACAAGAGGTCCTTCTGTGTCAAAACCTGAGTAAGGTACCATCTACAACTCTGGAATAATGTTCTCGCCTCCACTCTGCCCTCTCTGCACTTTCAGGCAAGAAGAGCCTGAAGAGCTCTGAAGAGCCTTCACCAGAAAGAGAACAATGTTCTCAAAATACAGTGCACATACACACAGATGGAGATGGGGAGAGGGATGACAAACAGATAACCTGATGCTGAAATAGAAACATCACTTTTGGACAAGTCTTTGGATGAGGCCAAAGAACAGCTGCCCTTTCGAAAGAAGATTAAGGAAAGTACCGCTGTAACATCCTAGATCTCTTCAAATCTTCTTGCTAACATGATGGAAGCAAAAAAGCTGTGCTTACTAACAATCTGTTCACTTCGCACCAATTAAAGGCGCACACACACACACAAACTTATCCCCAAGAAATGCAAGACACTTACAAACTCCACGAGGTATTTCATCATTGCTATATGATTTAACACAGACACCTTTAAGCAAAAATTTATCAGATACACAAACTAAGGGACAGCACCAATCATTTCAGAAATTAAAAACAGCAAAATCAGAATCATAAAACTTAGAGGGGAAAAGGTGAGAATGTGTTTGTATCGGGAAAAATGAATTTCAAGTCCATTACATTCAGCACGAATTACAGAACGCCAGGGGAGCTGAGAAGGAGTTATTTGAGAAGGAGACACACACAAGTGACCCATCAGTCTCTTTCCCCATAGACTACAATCCTATGTCACAGAGCAGTAAATATCAGAAAAATAGGTCATTCATTGCGAAAAAAAAGTATTTTCCCCTCCTTGGAGATTCCAAGAGTTACTGTGCTGATTAAAATTTTGTCTTCAGAATAATTATCACAATACAGGGCATTTCCTCTTTGGGTATATGACCCAAAATCTAATGATGATAACATCTTTGGAATCTACACATTGTGGCCTCTCTATCAAGGAGCTCAATTCAGTTTTTGGATAAAACAGCTTCAGTGTGATGTAAGCTTTTTACAGGATTCCCAGCACCTACAGTAAATTTACTATTTTAGAGACAGCTGATGAAAGTTGTGTGTATCATACATTATCAGAAATACATAATGCAGCAGCAAAATCCAGCAACTTATTCTAGTGTCTACATTATTTAATGATAGCCATGCAACATTACATTGACGAACTAACCTGCAGACACGGGCAGGAAAATACAGGTTCTGCCAGGACCGACAGAGGTATTTAGAGTGATCAATAACCCGAATCCAGTCTAACTCATCCATGGACACCTCAATGTAGTAGGAATATGACCTAAGGATTGTCAGAAAACACTGGTTAGAATACAAGCAGCCATAGTTTAGGTATTATACTTTACACTTTCTTCTGGATTTTCAGTTGTGCTGAAAAGGCCATTTGTTCCTACCCTCAGACCTGTATTTGAGGTATCTAAGAGAGACTCCTATTTTTAAAGTAGCTTTGAAAATAAATTCACATGCAGTTAAGACATGTTTTCAGAATTACTTAAAACATCCTAACACCCACAGTCTCCAGTAACTAGATGAGACCATTATCCCTCAAAAAAAATGTAATGGAGACATTCAACTCGGGCATAATCATTTGTACTCCTTCTGCATGGAATAAATCTAAAACATCTGTGATACAGTTATTATTTCTATTGCCATACCAATAAAGAAAAATTAAAAAACATCTAGCAGATAAAAAATGCAAATTCCAACCCTTCACTTGAAAAAAGCAAATTTACTTTATGTTCTCTTCCTCACTGATGTTCTTCACCTCTGTCCCTTTCAGTTCTTTATGATACATCATTAAGCCTGTCATTACTTACTTGCACACCCCAAAGTTACCTCATAAGAAATAAAAAGTCACCAACACAATCTGTGTATTCCTCTTGCTTATCAATTATGTTTAGCTTATAGTTTGCTCTTGGTGAAAACAAACCCAAGCTACAACTTGAAAGCCACAGCTATTTCCATATTATGCCTACAACAGTGATGTGAGGAAGAAACTCCACTTGTGGATCAGCAAATTGTGACCGTATTTTCAGTGTATTTTCTCCTTTTAATATACTAGTCTGGAACATTCACAGGCATTTCAACAGCACAATGTTAGCACTTACCCTCCTTTCACATTAGTTTATAAAAAAAGAGTTGCTCTTCCAGAATTTTACATAGACATTTTCTGTTAAACATTAATGCCTTTGTTAACATTTCCTATTTTTTGCCAAGGACTTAGAGGGGTAGATGTCTAGAGTGGTATTGTTTAAAAATCCTTAAAATGTTAGAAAACACTTAATACCAATTTATGCACTTAGAAAGGTAATGGAGAGTCTTTAAGATGTCCGTCGCATAATCAGCTCCCACATTCACACCAGCCAGATGCTTAATATTCACAACCCATACAAATAGAGTGTTTTAGCAACATTATTATTGCTAGCCTATGCATACTTGAGTGAACTAGGCTCCAGCATTTTAGAGTTTGAGCATTCTGGATCCAAATGTTACTGTCTCTCCTCTATGTGGTGACAACTTAGGGATTCTCACATCACCACTGCTAGATGAATATAAATTTGTAACCAACGTACAACATGCTATTTCTTTTTCATTTCAGAAGGTATCAAGCAATGAAAAATTAGTCCCAAAATACAGTTCCATTATCATACACAACACTATGCTCTTAATTTTTCTCAAGGATAGCATCCTTGTTGGAAAGGTAATTTGGACAGCTAATCTCCTAAGCACTTCCATATCTAAGATTCATCTTTTAATAATACCTCTAAACTAGAGATGCAGAATGCACCTGTTAGTATGTATTTGGTTAAGAACGTACATTATCAATATAAAGATATCAAAGACACCAGAGCTTCGCACAGTTAAAATGAATGAGTAGTTTAAAAAGATGATCAACAAGAAGCCACCATGTGCTTATACAGTTGCTAAAACTTCTCTTTTGGCGACATTATTCATGTATCCCATGAGAAAGATGCAGGTTAGTGGCTGCCAATTCTTAGCCTAAAAGAGCATCTAAGTTGGAAAGGGTCACTAGAAAAAGCAAGGACAATCTTAAGAGCAAATTCCTTAGGGTCTTGGCTGGCAAAGTTCTACACACCTCCAAGGGCTGACACCCAAAACCTCTCTGGGCAAACTCTTCCCAAGTTCAACTACCCCATTATGATTTCTTCTCCTAATACGTCATAGGAATTTATCATATTGCTTGAGTCCGCTACTCTTTGACCTCTTAACACACAGTTGGAAGAGCAATCTGGCCCTTTATTCTCTGTATTCTTCCATTAAATAGGTGAAGACGGCAACAAGTTCCCCCTTCCAAGTCTTCTCCTCTTAAAACAGCAAGTTCTCTCAGCATCTCCTTGTACGTCTTGTGCTCAAGCCCTCATCATTTGGTGTCCTGC